TGGCTTCCAAGGAAGGTGTAGATCACACTCACCTGTTCTGGAGAACTCATCTTCTGGGAGTTTAGAAGGGTGATAGCTATATCATGTCCTGAAGACAGCTCATCACAACACTCTTTCCCACTATCCAGATCTTCCATTTTCCCCCTTCTACATGTTTCCTGGGCCTTAATTGAGGACAGGGAGGAACATGACCCAACAGGACCAAGAACTCGGTGTCTTATTCTCCTCACTTTGACCAGTTACCCATCTTTCAATTGTCTTCTGCCCGCATTAAGTGAAGCTTCTCTGACCAACTATGGGAGAATCCCAGGCCTATTAGTATAAGCATAAATATTTAAAGGGTGATTTGATAGTATGAGCATTTAGGTAAACAAAAGTACCAAGTTCTATCCTAAGATCTCTAATCTCCTAGGAAAAATGTTTTTATACAGCCTACAATACCAATCAAGAAATTTCTTCTTGTGGAGCATTCTTCCACAGAATGCACTTAGGTACCCCGTTACATGTCTGTTACTATTGCATCAGGGGGCACATTTTTTTTCCTGGCACATTGGTGTGTCCTGTGGCATGGTGGGTTGAGGACTAGTTAAAACAACTGAGCTCTTTTTCTCCCTCCACAGCCGATGTGCTACCTTTCTGTGCTATAAAAACTAGACAGACAGAAGCAAGTTTCTCAATTGTCTTGAGAATGATCTTGTTTCTATGACTGATAGCCAAAACGCCTGTTTTCTTCATTAACTGCCTCTTACTATGTAGTTTTGGTGGGAAAACCAAGGGCAATGGTAATAGCCTGTGTTGCTATGGATACCTCTGTGGTCTTGTATGGGTAGTCTATTCTTTGTATTGTGATTTTCATTTAATAACTAATGTCTTCTGGGAGTAGTTTTAGTTCACTAACAGGATACATCCATTCAAACTTTTTTTTGAATGTATCTTGAAGCTAATTTGCTACCTAGTGAATATTCATTAAACTTTTATCACATTGTAATTTTCATTGATGTTTTCGCTCTACTTTCTCTATTTGTAAGACTTCAGGTCTTAATATCTTTGATCAGCTTGAAAGGTATGAGATAAAGAAAATTTTATTCTTCAGTGATTAAATATACAATTTTGTCAAAATAATTTATTAATGAATTTGACTTTTCTCGCAAAAGCATTAACACAAATCACACATGTTTGACACCCTTACCTATTAGGTAAATGTAATTTAATGCTATTTTGACAGGCTATCTTTCACACATCAGTATGCAGTGAGACTGTTCAATCAAGAAAACAAACAAGAACTACTGTCAGGAATGTGGGAGAAGTATCTACCATCAGGTATTGGCAGAAATGTGAACTGGTGCAGTCATTTTGAAATAAATGCTCAAGCATCTAAAACTCTCAAGAGAGAACTATAGAGAACCAAGCTCAGGAACTCTCGAGTGGCAAGGAATATATATTCTACTCTACTGACACTTCCACAGTTGTATCAAATGCTGCAGCGTTTACAATAGCCAGGAAACAGAATCACCCTAGATGTATACGACATGATCATCAGATAAGGAATATGTGGCTCATACGTGAAATGGAATCTTATTCAGATGGGAAGAAAAGTGAGACCGTGAACTTTATAGGGGAAGGACACAGTTGGAATATATTGTCTTAATTGAGACCACCCAGGATCAGAGAAAAATAGCACAGGTTCTCTCTCATTTGTGAGTTTAGTTTCCAAATTTCTAACACAGTTTCTTTATTGATCCTTTGGGAATTTCACATCATTCTACTTTTTCCCAGACCCCCCCATCTTCTCTTTACCCTTGGGTCCCCCCCCAAAGAAAATTTAAAAAAAATAAATAAAACTGAGCCAAACAAATCAATCAAATAAACAAACAAATTAATTTAAAAATACCCTCTTCACTCCTCCTTTCATATCCCAACACCTCTTTGCTTATCCTGGAGGCATTGGGAGACTCAGAATGTCATTCATTACACCTTTTTTTTTTTTCCCATTCAGCTTTACTTGCAAATGTTCCTTACAGTGAGTCATTGACGTGGTTCGTGGCCTCTGGTTTCTGGTACACCATGCTCCACTGGAACCCTGAACCTTCTAGCAGATATCTTGTGTCCTCCCTGAGCTTCTCATTTTTATACATGTATTTGTATGTGGGAATGCTTGTGGATGTTGTCCAGGGAACAAGAAAGGAGCCCATGAGAGGAATAAAGATGTGTGGGAAGAGGTGTGGAGAGGAAGAGAGTTAGTAGGAGATGAAAGGGGGAGACAGATATGTGGAGTGGGGGACAAGGAGAAGAGGAGATAGAGGAAGAGAAAGGAACAAACCAAACTAATAATATATATACTCCTAAACATAGTCCACCATGACAAATATGAAAGTTTGCGGTTAGGTAAGCAAGGTACCAGAGACACACAAGTTACTGCAAAGCCAATTTAAAAGAATGAAGTAAAATAAGCTAAATTTTGTCTTGCTACCTAGTTCTAGCTTAATTTCTTCAAGTGCAGTGATTATGTTTTTGAATGCTCGTGTAAAGCTTAGAGACGCATCATGTCCAAGTTAAACAGAGAGTTGTAGGAAGCAAATCAGAGTAAAATCAAGAAATAAATGAAAAAGAAAATAGTGAAAAATCTGAAATAATCAATGGACACTGACATAAGAAATTCAATTGTGCTTTCATTTGAGTGATACCAATTATAGATGAAGGATATTTGGGGTGGGGGTGTCGTGTGCATATCCATATTTAGGTTTCTGAAGCACGCATATAAAAGCTATCATTATGACAAACATGTGTTTTCAATTCCCTAGCCACACTTTTTAGAATGAATGGCTTCTAATTTCATATTGAAGTTTGAAGATTGTTAAAAGAGGGGAAAAGATGGGAGCTTAAAGAACTTCTATTTAATAGTCAGAATAAATGTATCTACCCTGCAGAGGACTCCCGGGCACACTGTAATGGGCTTATTCTTCTGCAGTTTTGCTGAAATGAGAATGCATTCCCTTTCCTTGGTTTAAAGGGTGTTCTTTTATTTGCAAGCAAACATGAACAAAATCATTTCTGATGAACACCCAAAGCTGCTTGGCCTCATTATAGTGAATGACAAAGGAGACCTTACAGCTTCACATCAAATTAGTGGAAAAACAATTATCTGAAGGGGAAAAAAAAAAGATGTGCAAACATTTTCCTACAAAGTTAAAGATTCAAGGCAATGTGTCTGGCATGTGTTCCTCCCTCTAGGCAGCCCCTCCATTCTGTGAAACATCTGTCTCAATTTCCGCTCTTCCTGGAGCCTACTTTTAGTCTCTGAAAAGCTATTCTTCTGAAGCTGCCTCACTATGACCACATTGATGGAAACCGTGTGAGTCTCTGCAGATGCACCCCAGCTTCTCAGCTGGGGATTTCTGGCCAGGCTTTCCTGACTCTCCCTGGATGGCTCGCCAACATTAGCGAGTCATTTCTCTTGGACTTTGTGTTTTGAATGTTTGAAAATGGGCATCGACACACTCGCTGACCCTTTGCAGGAAATGCTTAGTTTCTGTAGATATGAATTAAACGCATCTTGGACAAGAATCTTTTTTGATGAATATACTCCAAAATCTTATAGGTTGCTTATTATGCTGAAGCCTAGAATTCAAAGATAAAGTCTTAATTCAGTGTTTACTACTTAATAGATCTGGGCATGGAATTAGACAATGAACGCTTATCTAGGATAAAAAAAAGGCTAAAATAGAGAACCTATGAAATTGTTCCTTAAAAAATACTTCTTTCATTAGTAATGAAGTGTATTCAGATCTATCAAAACTGACATTAAAAATTCTTGAATTTGTTTTAAAAATCACAGGGTATATAAAACAAGCAATAAATAACCAGTCTAATTTATATTCCTGTGTTAAAAATGAAAGTAGTTTTTACACCATTTTGATAATAAATAACTGAGAAGTAATTTGGGTGGTTTTGCTTTTTTAATGAGCAAAAATAAATGCAGATGGGTGCTTGCTGATGTGATCAATCAAGAATGTAAGATTTCTTGTGATATTATCATAAAGCAGACAACAAGAAGTGGGCTCAGGATGCTCTAAATCCCTTAAGCAAATTCCCATCTGACACTCACAAGGGCATTGAGAAGACCACACTTATCAAGAAATAAAAAGGGATAACCACTAGCCTGAAGGAAAGATACTGAAAATGAGAATGCAGCTAAATATTTTTAGAAACAACTTGTAACAGAAAAGATGTAAGGTGAAGAAATAGTGAAATTAAAAAAAAGGGGGTTTGAAAACTATAATTTTTTTACCATATTGCCGTTTTGGCCCCATTGCCAAATGTCTCAAAAATATCAATTTAACATTATCAAATATTGTTGCTATAGTTAGTATCCATGTGAAAAAGTATGTAAGAAATGGCATCTCACAATTAAATTATACAGTTTTCATGCCACTATAGATTATGCCTCAGTAGGAAGGGTAATTTTTACTAAAAGACCATTAAAAGTATTGTACAATAATTGTAAGGAGGAGAAGATTTGAATTTCAGAAATGAAAAACCTAAAGGAAAAAAAATACTAGTCAGTATCTCAACAGCTATGCAAGAGAGGGGAGTGAACTAGGCGCAAGAGTGAAGGGGAGTTTTGAATTTTGTTCTGCACACTTCTAGGTTAAAGTGAATCTTTCCTAACAACAATGTGTTCTCCCAAAGCTGTGTGTCATTAGAAAACAGTAAGTGAGATACTTCTAAATCTATCAAATGAAGAAACATATAAAGCTAAAAGAATATAGCAACAAAAAATACAGCACTAAATCCAATTCCCAAGAATTGAGAAACAAACTTAATTGAACACAGTAACACGATTTCTGAGAAACTGGCTGCCTCCAGCTGGTGGGTGAGGCACACTGTGTTGAATGTAAGGACACGGGTGACATCTTGTGGCACAATTGGGAATGTTTTAAATTTGTACCACGGGCTTAGAGGGTGATTGAGGTTGCTGTGAAATTTCTGCTTGTTTCCAGACTGAAAAAGTGACAGAGAGGCTTTCTGGGAGCAGAGTACTCCTAACCCCAGGCCCAGAGCTAGAAGACACACAGGATGAGGACAAGGATGAAGAATCCACTCCCCGGCTGATAGATGGATCTTCCCCACAGGAGCCAGAATTCCCAGGACTTCTAGGCCCACACACCAATGAAGGTCAGATAAGTTGATACTGAATTATAACTGCATTTTGCCATCTCTCAAAATGGTAGGCTTCATCCCACTCAGCAAGTGTAGTCTGTCTTGCCCAAGCCTGATGAAGTCATGGACCCTAGGGGAAACTTAATTATGCATTGCTAAATAGCCATGTTGTCTATCAGCTTTCTAAAGATTTGTTTATAATGATTGCTGTTGTTTCCAACCTTTTTCAGGGAAGCTTTTTATTACAGTGTGTAGGTGATAACACAGATACATTATTGTTCAAAGTGCTTAATAGAAGCAACTGTAGGTGCTTAGACAAAGATGAATGCCCACCACAATCAGGGTCTTTGAAAACATCTTGGAAGAGGAGGCTCAAAGAATGTAGTTTCCAAAGGATGAGGGGGATACTATGAAATGCTGCCCTCTGGACATGACATGGCTGTGCACATGAAAACTCAAAGAAATAGTACCTACACCGATCAAGACAGTTAAGAGTTCTGGTATGGATGAGAGAAGTGCTCCCAAAACGCTCACTGTACTGGCTAGGGTACAACTGTTAGGGAACAACTGGGTTCCTGGTGCCTTAATGAATAAACTTAGCAACCATGTGCACATGGGCAGAACGGAGTTCAGTGAGCCAAATAGAAATAGAAATAAATAAGATAATATGAAGCTAGGAAGGAGATACAATATAGGACATTGAGGGATTTTAGAGACAGTGATGGGTGTACATGACCAACATATATGGTACAAATACACGACACATTCAAAGAAGAAAGAAAACTAAAATTAAAATGACTTGCCAATTTTCAGCTCCACTCTAAAAGAAATGTGCATAGTTCAAAGATAAAAATTCTAGAATGTTGCAATATATTTTGAAGTGGGAAGTTATAATGTATTTTGTTGTCAGACATACACTAGCTTGTATAATGCATCTTTGGTCTGTTGGAAATGATCAAATAACCAAAGACTCAGGGTGGAAATATTTTTTCTGTGGCATACATTTCCAGAACACAACATGGGCAAACTGATGAAACTCTTCCTTTGAGATCAAACCAGCACAGTTCAAAGTCATAAGACATAATGATGTTGAGTAGAATAAGGATAACATGTGCTAATTGGGCATCTGCTGTCTGTAGACCATAGCAACAACACACTGTATCCTTCCTTTACCTCTTACAATCTCTCTGGGGTGTTAATAATACTCTTGTCACTAGGAAAGACATAATTAGAAAGGGTAGTGATTTTAGACTTCAAGTCAACTTGTGTGGTGCCTGCACCATGGGATGGTTCGTGAGTCAGGCAAGGGGCTGGAGATTGAAACACACACACACACACACACACACACACACACACACACACGGGGGGGTGAGGAGAGGGAGAGGGAGGGAGAAGGAGGTCATCCTTGAAATAAGAATGCCAATTTTATTGTGTTCCAGGGAAGCTTATTTAGGGCTCTTTGACTAATGGCCATGCCCTAGCTCTCAGGATTTTTCAGCTCCAAGCCCATCAGAAACCACTCCCCTGCCATCAGGAACTCATGAGGCCTCATGCTCAGAGCAGCTGCAGTATAGGAAAACAAGTTGTTTACTCTGTCAGGCAAAGGGTCAGAAAATTCAAGGTCTGAGGTTCTGCAGTCCCTAACAAACTTGCTTTTAGGAAAATGTTAGTTCTCTCCACCTCACAATCTGGGAGAGTAGATCTCTAGAACTTCTGTATGTTTCTTTGTAACTGAACGGCTGGGAACAAAAACCTCTGTCAATACTAGAGGACAGAGTAAAGATTAAATATTTTGCAGATTCCCCTTAAAGAACTCTATTTTTTCTTGGTTAAATTGTTTCTATTCTGAAGTTCTTACTGTGTCTAATATACTTATTTAAAGAAAACAAAAAGATATGAAGGGATACATTATTAGTTCTTGATCAGAAATGATCAAAGGACCCTTTAACTAGAGTGACAAAATATTCCTCTTAGAATGAATATGAGTACTCCTGGAAAGCTCCAGGTAAACCGAGGCAAACTGGCAACTGAACAATTGTAAGTTGTTTTTTTTTTTTAACTTTCTCCCATTTCCTCTCCTAGTCTAGAATATAAATTGCTTTGTTCACATCAGTCTTTCTCCTCTTCTGAAGCTACTTCCTCTCCTCCATTTGCCTCACTACTCTCATTCACATCTCTCCGGCATGCAAGTGGCTGACACCATTGTCTAGTTCCGGACCTCTTTTGTACAGGAGTAGAGAAGGCTACCTGAATGCCAAATATGCATGTTTTATCTCTCTCTGCTCTTGGTTGTGGACATGGTGTGATAAGCTACTCCAAGTGCCTGCAGCACTTCCTTGCAGGGATGGGCTATAGCCTAGAACTGCTAACTGACATAAACCCATGATCCTTTAGTTTATTTATTTTTTATTTTTTGGTTGGTTTCTTTCATCACAGCCTCAGAAATGAAGCTAGACATATTGCTTTATTAAAGCACAGATGCATCTTAGTTATCATCATCCTGTCCCTCCATCTTTTCAGTAAACACCTCTAGAATATTGTCTTGTTTTGCTTCTCTCCAATTTTATCTGTAAAATATTTTAATTCATTATCCATCACCATCATTATACAGCCTTTACAAAGTCTGAATATTTCTGCAATATCAAATTCAAGTATCATTTTAAGCCTTATTTACCTAGCAAACTAAGTTAATCAAATTTCCTCTTCTTTCAAACTCTTCCTCAATTTAGTGTTCACCAATATGGCCCTATACCTCATTGTCATACTTTCTTTCTGATCATTATTTCTCTGTCTCCTTTAAAGATTATCAATCTCTAGGTAAATACTAAGTATAGAGTAAAAAAAAAAGATTCTCTCTCTCTTCCTCTCTATTTCCCTCCCTCCTTCCTTCCCTCCCTCCCTTTGTCTTGCCCCTGCCTGTCTTTGTCTTCCCTGTCACCATTACCGTAGCCAAGCAACCACAATGTATTATGCATAATATATCTCTTTTATCTGCAACTCAGACCCTCTCATCCCACTTGGCCCTCTTTCTGTCTGACCACTGTCTCAGACAGAGTGAGCTGATACAAGTAAGAACGGACAGTTAACTCATCTACAAGAAAGGGAAAACCTCCTATGTCACAATACACAAGGGCTCTTACCTGGGGTGTGGTTGGCCTCCTCTGAGTTTAGCCTCAAGGACTGTCTCTGAGTCTTGGAGAAAGGACCTTTTAAAAAAATTTTTTCACCATTCTAACACTTCTTTTTATGTATATCACAGGATGACATTTGCTGTGCCAGAGATTCCCTTTAATAATTTTTCAACTAAGCCCAATGACTCATATTTATATTCATAGCATATTTAAAAATGCAGAGATGTGCAGTTACCATTCATTTTATCTAATAGATCACAAAGCAGAGTTGTATGTCTTTTTCATCATTGCTTCAGTACCCACTATCCTATCATTTGTATGAAATGTGTATGTATTGAATGAACAAATATTCATCTGTATTATCTTTTCTTGAAACAAATGTTATTAGAATATTTAAATATTGAGTCATATATGTAATGAATACATGGTAATTTAACTTTATAAAAGACATAATCTTAATATTTGTTTTAAAAACAGAATTCATACTAGGTATTAATTTAACAGCCATAATATATTCACTTAAATAGGTTTTCCAAGCAATAGTGTATAGATGCTTTAGCTTATAGATTTGGCTTTAATGTACCATTTGCTAAAACTGCTTTGAGAAAATGTGAACTATATCAGGATGTTCTGATTGATATTTTAATATTAATTGCTAAATAACCAGAACTACATTATTCTTAGAATTCTTTTAGTGAATATAATTATTCACCTATACATTTCAGACTTTCCAACCTGCCTTCTGTGTACTTGCATAAGTACCACTGTATACTGTGATGACCATGAACTTGATGCCATTCCTCCACTCCCTAAGAAGACTGCATACTTCTATTCGCGCTTCAACAGAATTAAGAAGATCAACCAAAATGACTTTGCAAGCCTAAGTATGGATATTTTAGTGCAGAACTAATACCAATTACAGTCTTATTTATATTTGTGATTTCTGTTTATTCGTGTTTTATTTGAGTAAACCACATTCAAGCACGTTTAGCTACTGATGTCCTTTTTTTCTACTAGGTGACTTAAAAAGGATTGATCTGACATCAAATTTAATTTCGGAGATTGATGAAGATGCATTCCGCAAGCTGCCCCATCTCCAAGAGCTTGTCCTACGTGACAATAAAATAAAGCAGCTTCCAGAGCTTCCGGCCACTTTGACATTTATCGATATCAGCAACAATAGACTAGGAAGGAAAGGGATTAAGCAAGAAGCATTTAAAGTAAGTTTTACGTCCACATGGTAGCCCTCCTCTTTCTCTTCCCCCCCCTCTGTCCTGGACTAGCCTTTTCATGTCTCTGAAAGCATTTCCTGGAATGTTGCCTCTAACTTCTAAAACAAACTTCTCTGCATTATCTAGGGAAACTTTGAAAATAAGATATCTTCTGGTTCATTCTGAGACTGGTCAAGGACCAAGAATGGAAAGTGGGGCTTGAATTAGAAGTGGATCGTTCTTGGCCACATGCAAAAAGCTCCTGGAAGAGGCTCAATCCAGAAAATTCGGGTTTCCTTAGAACTCCACCCAGGGGCAGATGAGATGTTGTTAGGTGATTGGGAAGGGAGCAGGCAGTGCAGGGCTCTGAGTACCGAAGGCCATAAGGAGTCTAGATAGAGTCATCCTGTGGGAACTTGTTTTGTAAGTGAAGAAAACAGGCTTGAATTTGGAGTTCCTGCTTAGAGCAGTGCCACAATCCAAGAACAATAATCAGCTGACTTTCTTACACAAGTTTTCACTTGGTCTTTGAAAAGAAACATACACTCAGGGAGATGGTGATGGGTAGTGTGAGCTTGTTCTTAAGATTCTCTGTTAATTATTTTGTCGATGGTAGCTGAGGGGGTTAGGGACTCTCAAAGTAGTATGATTGGCAGGGGTTTAAATGAGAGGGCACTAAATAAGATGAGTCGCTGTTTTACTGTGCTGTTTCCTTAACATAGACCAGTTATTATCTAAATGTTTTCTGTCTTGCTTTCCTACCATTTTCCTTACTAAGCAGCTAGTCTTTGGCTAAAAAAAAAAAATTTTCATTTCTCCAAACCTATAAAATAAAGGAAGATCTTGCTATGCATCAAAAATAAGTCTTAAGGAACTAATTTCAAATCGAAAAGAACTGCCTGTGTAAACTATGAAAGTATATTGAACGTAAGTGTTTTATAAGAGACTGAAAATAATTTCATTTTCTTAAAGAAAAATGCTTTTGTCATATGATAGGGCATCTCTTGGGTATATTCCCAAGAGTGGTATTGCTGGGTCCATGGGTAGGTTGATCCCGAATTTCCTGAGAAACCGCCACACTGATTTCCAAAGTGGTTGCACAAGTTTGCATTCCCACCAGCAATGGATGAGGGTACCCCTTCCTCCACAACCTCTCCAACAAAGGCTATCATTGTTGTTTTTGATTTTAGCCATTCTGACAGGTGTAAGATGATATCTCAAAGTTGTTTTCTTTTCTTTTTTTTTTTTTCTTTTTTTTTTTTGGATTTTCGAGACAGGGTTTTTCTGTGGCTTTGGAGTGTGTCCTGGAAGTAGCTCTGTAGACCAGGCTGGTCTTGAACTCACAGAGATCCGCCTGTCTCTGCCTCCAGAGTACTGGGATTAAAGGCGTGTGCTACCATCGCCCTGCTCTCAAAGTTGTTTCGATTTTCATTTCCCTGATTGCTAAGGAGGTTGAGCATGATCTTAAGTGTCTTTTGGCCATTTGAACTTCTTCTGTTGAGAATTCTCTGTTCAGTTCAGTGTCCCATTTTTTAATTGGGTTATTTAGTATTTTAAAGTTTAGTTTCTTGGGTTCTTTATATATTTTGGAGATCAGACCTTTGTCTGTTGCGGGGTTGGTTTAAGATCTTAGAATAAAAGAATTATCTTGTTCTCAAAACAACTAAAATTCGTGTAAATGGTTGTCAATAAAAAAAAAATCTGATTTTCTAAAAAAAGAAAAAGAAAAAGAAATATGCTTATAGTCAAATTTTCCAAAATTGCATTGAATTGTCTAGTGATTTAGAGGATACTGACAGAGGCATGCTAGCTTACTAACCACTGCATTGAGAAGAAACTTCAGGTAAGTTTTCCATATGAATATTTACAGGACATGTATGATCTCCACCATCTCTATATCACGGATAACAGCTTGGACCACATCCCTCTGCCACTTCCAGAAAGTCTACAGGCTCTTCACCTTCAGGTAGGTTTTGTATGATAAACCGAGCCTTAAAACTCCAGGGAGAACAACCACAAACAGAAGGGAGCCAGGACTAACAAATTTATCTGTCATGACATATTGACATGAGCATACATTCTTCTGCTTCTGCTTCTCCACCCATTCATTCCGTCAGCTAACAAACGGTTCACACTTTCACGTTACTGTCTATTCTACTAAGATGCTGGTACCTTCAGTCATTATTTTGTTATTTTAGAAATAAAATTTAGGTAATAAACTTTTCTTTAAAGCAAGACCTTCACTTACTGAAAAAAATACATAAGAAGCCATAAAGGGAAGACAAAAATATATTTTGATGTCTAGTCTTCATAAAAAATATGTCAATTTTATTTTCTCATAGATATCAGATTTCATATTGAATTAAGTACTGTGCAAAGCCATCAACATGTACTAAAAATGGCACTTCTCCAATATTTAAGTTAAAGAAACTTCAGTTTTTTCTTTAACTTCTTTTTTTAAACCAACATGCACACACACTTGAAAGTTTACACTGTTTCTACTCTTATTAAACATCATTCTATTTTTAGAGAGATAAGTGAAAACACATTTTCAAAATGCCATGTTTTAATAGTTTCTAAATATGTTTCATTTTCATCCATATGATTACAATGTGTTCAGTAAAACACTTAGTTTTTGAAACAATGGGATTTGCTTCAAACCACATGAAAGTAACTTGATTTATAGCTATAATCTGCTTTCTCTGGTATTTTCTAATTTTTGTGGGATAAACAAATAGGAAAAATATTCATTATTTGCTGAATTATAGACCATTATAATAAGGGATTTTACTTTGCAAGAAGTACTCTCTGGTTCTAGTGATTTTCTCTGTACATTATGTTAATGTTTACTTCTGCATTTTTCTTATTCCAAGTAATGTTTATATTTCTATACTTTTATTGTATTTCTGTAAATATGTGAGATCTGGATAATGATCTCTTGAATTTTTCTGACCATACTCATTTCCTTAATATCTTATGATCTCTTACAAACAATCCCAAATAATGGAAAAGAAGAGTATGTCCTGACTCATCACCCTAAAGTTAATTCCATCCTAATAACAAAATTAGACTTAAACAAAGCAATCAGCAGAAGAGGAAACTGTAGATCAATGCATGTTATGAACATAATGCAACATGGCATGCAATAAATCTGCTTTTATTGCATATAGATGATCTACACATAAATCATCTATGTGTAAAATAAATGACATACCACTAGACTGTAGCATTTACTTCAAGAATAAAATAATAAATAGTTTAACCATTATCAGATATAAATATGATATAATAACAGAATAAAACTTCCTGATTATTTAAATAGATACAAAGAATGCATTTGAGAAAACTCAATAACCCTTTATCATTAAGTATCTGAAGAAACAAAAACTAAGGAAATTCCACAACCTAATAAAGAATATGTATTCCAAACACACCGAAGTTAATATTTAATAGAGAAACACTCAACACTTTCTTGATAAGCTCAGAAAAAAAGATAGGGGATGTTTGGTCTTAATGTCTTATTAAATATTATGTTTGAAGGTTCTAATAAGAAAAACAGAAAAATAATTAAACCAGAAAGTAACACATGATAGATGGCAAAAGAAATAGGTTTTCAAGCCAGTGCTGAGCAATGGGCATCTCTTGGGACAACTGGCACAAGCACCACAAGACCAGGGGTAAGAGAAAGCCCTACCACAAGGAGAAGTATGAGCTGGGACATCCTACTGCCGACACTAAGATTGGTTCTCATCATATGCACACAGTCCGAGTGCTAGAGGCAATAGGAAGTACCCTGTCCTACAATTGGATGTGGGAAACTTTTCCTGGGGTTCTGAGTGTTGTACTCGCAAAACAAGGATCATTGATGTCATCTATAATGCATACAATAACGAGCGGGTCCACACCAAGACCATGGTGAAGAACTGCATTGTGCTTATTGACAGCACACCGCACCGACAGTGGTATGAGTCCCACTATGCACTGAACCTGGACCGCAAGAAGGGAGCCAAGCTGACTCCTGAGGAGGAAGAAATACTAAATAATAAATGACCAAAGAAAATTCAAAAGAAATAGGATGAAAGGAGAAAAGAGCAACAGTATCAGCAGTCTTATTGAGGAGTAGTTTCAGCGGGGCAAGCTTCTTACCTGTATTGCCTCAAGACCAGGCCAGCGTGGCAGAACAGATGGTTGTGTTAGAAGTCCGGGAGCTGAAGCTCTACATGAGGAAGATCAAAGCCTGGAGAGGAAAATAAACCATCACCCAGAGCTCATCTAATAACGGTGTTTATTGTTCTACATTTTTTAAAGAATGAATTAGATTTTCTTCCTTCGCTTTCAAATGACAAGATCTTGTATACAGGAAATCTCAAGGAATCCATTAAAAGTTACCACAATTCATGAGTTTAGCAATGTGACAAGCTGTAAAATAATTATGCAAATTCCAATTATAATTCTTGTTCATTAACAATAATCATCCTGAAAACTACATTAAAAATTATTTTCATTATTTATAATCTGTCACTATCATCTGTCATCCATTAATCTAACATCTATCATATCTATCTATCTATCTATCTATCTATCTATCTATCTATCCATCCATCCAGCTATCTATCATCCATCTATATCTATCTGATCTTTGGCACAGAGTCTTATTATGTAGCTTTGCTATCTTGCAATTGTCTATATATAACAAACTGACCTTAAACTTACCAGAGAGCTTTTTGTCTTAGACTCTTCAGTGTACAACTTTACAGGGTGCCCTATCACACACACACACACACACACACACACACACACACACACACACAAAAGATATTCTCTTTCAAAATGTCACATATCTTAAATACATAGATTACACTTATCAAAACCATGATAATCATTGTGTGGTCACAATTGCAATATGGGGTTTAACAAGGAAGAATATCTAGATAATGTCCTAATACCACAAATCAGAAACCTGGAATATTAAGGTGCACGTACTTCTTAGATTCACCTACAAGTTTTGCATGTAACAAATTATGAGTAACTTACTAAGCTTTACGTATAGTAGAGGAGTTCAGTAGTGTAACAGACATGAGATCAACTCATATCTGTATTTTTCATATTATTATAAGACCCATAATCCATATTATTCCATAATATTATAAGATCAACTGTAGCTCTGCACACTGTCAATAAAAAAGTCTTCAAGTGAGCTAATATTCATGCCTACAACTTTTTTAGGTTTCAAGGAAATTGCATTCTGCTGTTTAGGGTATAAAACATTCTAGCTACTTGAAAAATACATCAACAGTTCCGCCAAATACAAAAAAAAAAAGTTACAACTCAAAGATATGACAGTAAGTGAACAAACCTCAATGCTGCCTCTTAAACCAACTTGAAAAGGCCACCTCCTCTTTCTTCTAGTATTCAATATTTTTTGGAAACATGTATTTATTTCAGGAGATAGCACTTCATAATGCCACATGCATAAATATTCAGAACTGAGAAATTTATAAAAACAGAAAGTATATTGGTCACTGTCCAGGAGTAGGGGGAGAATGAAAAAGTGTATTTCCCCAAAATCTGCTTGCCTAGTGTCTCACTTTACTGCAGCCAGGTTGACCTGAGTGTGAATTGTTCAGAAGTCACACCATGAAGATGCTTGGGACTTTTTGCTTGCTCTTTCTCTTCCCTGGATATTCCTCCCTTGGCTCTCCCAAAGCCTGTGTCTTCCTGCTACACTACATTGTCTTCAATTTTTTTTTATCATTTTAAGAATAACTTCTTTCTTTCAATAATCTTCCTCACATACTTGTATTTTTCATGTGTTCTGTACTGGTAAGAATAAGTCTATTTAGTTAATTAATTTATCCCTATGGTACAAACAATGTTTCATGTATAATAATCATACATTGAATAGTCTGGACTAGTAGAACAAACAAGAATTAATACACTTTGCATATTACAATGTACTACAGTTTTGCTCAATACCTTAGGTTTATAAAGTCTTGTCTTTTCACTTTTTTGTCTTTTTTTTTTAGAATAACAACATTCTAGAAATGCATGAGGATACTTTCTGCAATGTTAAAAATTTAACCTATGTTCGTAAGGCATTAGAGGACATTCGACTGGATGGAAACCCTATCAATCTCAGCAAAACTCCTCAAGCGTACATGTGTCTACCTCGTTTGCCCATTGGAAGTTTTGTCTAGTGTTAGAATGTTAGGCAAACGTCTGAATTGTGATGCTTTTTGTAGCCAAGTGACACATCAATCTCTTCAAAACCAAACTCAGTATATTTCAGAGGCAATAAAGAATGTGGCATGATTATATAAAACAATAGGCTGAAAGTGTTAAGATAAGAATTTAATAATTTAACTAAATATGAATTAGGTATAAATCTATAAAACACATAGAAAGTAAATTAAATGATAACATATTTTCAGCTACTCTTACAAATCACATATGATTTGGAAATTTTAGGTATCACATCAAGTTGAATAAGTAAGAAAGAAAACATTTGAAATGAATACTTTAGATATGCTGATAAGATGTGTACATTTTAATTAAACATTTTTAGTCTTAATTTTCATTGATATATGTTTCCCACCTAATTCATTTAAGAACACAAAGAAAATAATAAATGTGTTTGAAAAATACATGGTCTTGTGAGAAAGTATTTCTTATAAGCACAGTGTGCAATTTCCTAATGACATCTATCATCTTTTCTCATGTAATTTTCAATTATTTTTTATCCATTTTATATACCAACCATAGTTCCCCCTTCCCCTCTTTCTACTTCCTCCCCACACCCTCTCCTACCGACCCCCCATTCACTCCTTAGAAGGGTAAGGCATCCCATAGGAAGTGAACAAAACCTGGCACATTAAGTTGAAGCAGAACTAAGCCCCTTCCCTCTTTATTAAGGCTGAGTAAGGCATCCCACCATAGAGAATGGGCTCCAAAACGCTAGCTCATGACTACCCTAACTGTCATCATAGAACCTCCATACAGTAACTGATGGAAGCTAATGCAGAGATCCACAGCCAAGGACCAGGCAGAGGTCCCCAAGTGCAGTCAAAGGAAGAGAGGAGAGAATATATGAGCAAGGACAGTCATAATCATGATGCGGAAATCCACTGAGACAGCTGACCTGAGACCTGTAGCGGGAGCTCAAGAACTCTAGACTGACAGCTGGGAGCCTGCATGGGACATCTATCATCTTTAAGACCTGTGTTTCTCTACCTTTGAAAATAATGTATAGGATATGGAACATACTGAAGATGCCATAATAACAACCCTGGAGAAGAGCAGGAAAAAAAAACTTTATAAGGGAACTGGATTTTTTTTAAATCTTTGAAAATGAATAATGATGTAAGTACATGGTTAAAATCTGAAACAATGGAAAGGACTTGCTCTTGGGTACAGAACCCCAGGTTCCAGTTACTGATCTTATATACCTCCATAAAAAATGTTCCCAGAAAAAAGGAAAGTAATTCCCCCTTCTATAGAAATGTATTTCTGTTGGCTGGTAGTGGCGCACAGCTTAAATCCCACACAGCACTTGGGAGGCAAAGGCAGACAGATCTCAGTTGAGTTCGAGGCCAGCCTAGTCTACCAAGAACATTCCAGTTACATGGATAAATCCTGTCTCAAAAAACCAAAAATAAAATGAAGAAAAAGAAGAAAAGAAAGAAAAGAAATATATTTCTCCAAAGGTAATATATGTATATATGTGTGTGGGCATAGTACCCAGTACTGTTACATGTCTGTATACATGAGCATTCATTTTTAAGTGCAAAAGATACTAAGTATTCTGAACCTTACTTGTGACATTTCAAAATAGTCGATGGGGACATTTCCACATGAGTACAGCCCCTGGAATTCTGAGACGTTGTCATCCCATTTCATGGGATAAATTCTGCATTTATACCAAAATTGTAAATAATGGCCAGGCTTGAGCATACATAACTATATGCTTGAGAGTACCTCTATAGTGACTTTGATAAAGTCAAAGAAATAGGATTCTTGGTAAAATACTATTAAGTTCTTAATAAGTATTATGAAATAGACATACAAGATATTAAATGTATATTTCCACCTTGAGCAGAAAAGTTTTGTTACAGATTCTACACCTTGGGTTGAGCACCATTAACACTTACACTCATTTTGACCAGTTTTATGTTTCTATATTAACCTCCATCTGCTGAAAAAGAAACTTCTCTGAAAAAGGTTGAGAGCTACACCAATCTACAGCTATAAAAATACGTAGATGACAACGATACCATGTGCCCTCAATACAATAAAATAGAAGGTTCTCTTCTAGACTCCTCAGCTACATTGCAATAACCAAATTTCCCCTTGTTCTATATCATTTATATATCCACTACCCATAAACATTAAAATGATAATTCAAATTTTAGAGCAGTTTTTCTAATATGAAAGCCGGCATGGGACTGACCAAGGCCCTCTGCATGTATGTGACAGTTGTGTAGCTTGGTTTAATTGTAAAGCTCTTGCAGTGAAATCAGGATCCACTCTAGTACTTAAGCTGGATTTTTGGAACCAATTCCCCTTGCTGAGTCGCCTAACCCAACCTTGATGGGTTGAGGAGGGGGGACTTGGTCCTGCCTCAACTTGATGTGTGATGCTTTGTTGAAGCCCATGGGAAGCATTCCTCTTTCTAAATGGAGAGGCATTCTTGCGAAGTATAATTGATGTGGGAGAACCCTACCTATTTCAGGCAGCACCTTCCTAGGAAGATGGGTGTGGCTTATACAACAGAACTGGCTGAGCCAGTGGGTCAAGGAGTAAGAAGCCTTCCTCTATGGTTGCTGACTCCAGTTTCCTTCCTTGAATTCCTGTACGGAGCACACATTTTCCCTGTGTTATTCATACTGTCTATTTTCTCGGTTTTCAGAAAGTCCTTAGTTATTGCAAGATTAATAGCATTTTCAAAAGCTGATACTGAATGACACTACACAGATGACACTTTTATTTTTAAATACATTGCCTTGATAGGAATAGAAAACACTCTCTGTATTTATCGTAACATTAAGCATCTCTTTATAAGATGACTTAATGGTTGATAGATGAGAAAACTCATACCTGATGAATTTGTAAATTAGCTGTATATCTTCCCAAATCTCCAAAGAATAAGTAATTTCCCCAAGCTCTCTCACTCCATCACAAATGCTCACTTCTTTTCCTTTAATTGTATATATATGAGTAAGTATATTATTTATATGTTTTCAGGGCTGACCACTTGGTATTAGATAATCCGATGAGGAGGATTGTCCCTGGGGAAAGACTGATTCTTCCTGTCTCAGCTGATAACTTTCTACAGGTCTTTATCCAAGTTTGGGGCCCCATTAGATTTCCTCCATCTACCTGGTGTTAGAATTATTCCAGTCTTGATCAAGCAGCCATACTGTAAGCCGCTGGCTGTGGCAAGTTGGTGTGTTTCCAGTAGCGGACGGTATTTCCCTTCTGTTAAGTGGGTTTTACGTCCATTAGATAGATGTTGGCCACTGCCAAGTTATAAGCACTCCTGCTACATTTTTACAGACATATTGCCATGCTGATCTTTGCTGGGATTCACAAGAGCCACAGTGGGTGGGGCTATTGTTTCCGTCCCTGTCTTCGCAGCTTATATAACGCTCCCCCCCCCCCCCGTACTAGGAACTTAGATCTCAGGGAGGAGGTTGGTGAGTCAGATCTAACATGAATCTTCTGAATCCTCTGTCTGAATTATGTGGTGTCTTCTGCAATAGGGACCTACACTGAACGTCTAGGAGGCAACCAAGGTTGAACACTATAGCCTATAATGTTTTGGGAGTTTCTTGGTTTCACCCAACCAACAACTGAAACAGAAGTTTCTTAGGCCTGATACCGGAGTTCTTTGCTAGTTTATGACTCTTAGGAGGAATATTTTCACCCTAAGTGACTTAACTTCATGTGTGTGTGTGTGTACAATTTTAGATACATATAAAATGATTCTTTATGTCTTTTTCAAACATCCTTAGTGTTCTTTATCCCTGTTCCCTCCTCTTTCTGTAATGTTCTCTTACACCTTCCCAGTTAAAGCCACTCGTCCCCCTCTTTTCGATGCCCCTTTCATAATCACCTGAATTCAAACAATTAAAACATATTTTTATTATATCTTGGAGAATTTCATGCAAGTTTTTGATCATTTCTGCCCAACATCCCTCCCTGGAAAAAAAAAAAAAACAACTTTCTCACTTCTCACTAATGCTTTGTATATTCATGTAACTTTGTATGTGTTTTTTTAATCCTTCAAGATCAATATTTGCTGCTCATATATTCTTGGATGTGTGGTCTGTCACTGGGGAGCAGTCAGCTCACCGGGGGGTTAGATTCTTAAAGAATACTAGCTGCCTCCCTTCTCTCACAGCTAGTAACTGCCAACATCTCTATGGCTTTGGGTATTTGTTTGCCCAACTTCTGTCTGGGATTGTGTCTTGCATGGGTGTTAAACAAGCTGTTGAAAAGACTGTGAGTTCATATGTGCCCCTATCCTGCTGTATGCAGAAGTTGATGTTTCCTTGTGGTCATTTATTCCTTCAGGCACTTACACTCTTCCTGGCCCCTCTTCTTCAGTGATTCCTAAGCCTTCGGAGGGAGTTTGGTTTCACTTTGTTCAAGGTTGTGACTGTGCCCTGGTTCTTCCCTCTTGAAGTAACAAAGCCTTTAAATAACTTTTGATTTCTGAAAGAAGACCACAGCTGAGAGATAATGGGTTTTTAAAGACTTTGGAATTTAAAAAAGACTGGATACTTTAGAGACTGAATTTTTAAGTATTTGAAACTTTAAAAGACCATGGGACATTTCAAAGTTGAAATGCTTAGAATGCAATGTTATTCATATACAATGATATTAGTATATGATCTCAGAAGTGAACAAGATAGGAAATATTGTGGCTTAACAGTACTGTATCGCTGTGTCAAGTTGACAAAGGGGTCAGTTGTCCTGTCTAGTTCTATGTCAACTTGACATAAGGAAGAGTCCTCTGGGAAAAGGAAAACTCAGTTATGAAAATGTCTCTATAAGACTGGGCTGTAAACAGACTTCTAAAACATTTTCTTAACTAGTGATTGATACAGAAGGGCCTAGCCCATTGTGGGTGGTGCCATCCTTGGGCTGGTATTCTTGGGTTCCTTAAGAAAGCCCAAACTGAGCAAATCAGAGCACA